TCTTCCCCTCCCCTCCCTCCTCCTTCCTCCTCTCCACTTTTCCCTTCTTCTCCCCCTCCTTCCCCTTTCGCTTCCCCTCTGCCTTCCTCTCCCTCTCCCCCTCCCTCCCCTTCCCCTCCCTCATTACCTGCATCCTCTTCTTCTTTGTCATCTCCTTCTTCTTCTTCTTCTTCTTCTTCTTCATCTTCTTCTTCATCTTCTTCTTCTTCTTCTTCTTCCTCAAGTCGGCTGAGACCCGACCCTCCATTATCTTCGTTGTCCATATTGGGACGTCGGCAGGCTCGTTCATTCTCTCCTCCTCCCAGTCCCCCTCCTTCTTGACGTTGTGTTGATGGTAATCTGGGGGGTTCTTTGTCTTAGTGGCAGCCTGCTCTGCCACGCTGACGACGTTCGTCATTTATGCGCCGACCCTGCCAGATCAGATCTAGCTTTCCAGTGGTGACCGATTCGGATCTGCGGGCAGACCTCTCAAATATTTGTGGTTTGACAACCACAAATGTCTGCCTACATGTTTATCAGCGTCAATGTTGTACTGCATCCTAATTTGTTACGATTGCGTGTCAGCTTGACGCTGTTGAAAATCAGTTGTTGTATGATGATAATGGTCCACTTCTTGAAGGCAGTAACTATACTACCTCATGAGGCTTTACTATAAATGTCTTACAGTTAGCGTTCCACGGCCACCCCCTTCTTATGCATCATGCGACACCAGGTGATGACCTCAATAGCCATCCTCATATTTTTGCCTGTATTTTACTCAGAGCCAGGCATTATATGACACTCATTCGTGTAGCTGCCCAGTGGGAACTGTGGGACGGTGGGACGATGAGTCGGGCTATTTTCGACGTAAATAAATTTTTGCGTGCATTGTCGAATCATACTTTATTTTGGATTATTGATCGACTCTCGTGTGACACCTGTCAGGACAAAGACGCGGTGTGCCTTGGCTGTGGAATGCATCATCTATGCCATAACCATTATCAATTTATTGCGACTGTCGCCGTCTGTACTGAAGGGTGTCCAACATTTCCTCACTGTACACATCCCTATCACCCAAATATACGTTGCCCCCTTTGTGCCCAATGATGCCGCACTGTGATGAACGTCCTGTTGTTTTTTTGACATGTGGACAACATGTCCTCTGTCAGGACTGTTTTGATGGGATGGTTCGTGATAGCCGTCCTGCTGAATGCTGTGCTGACGCAACTTTCCTTGAGTATCCTTGTGAACATCCACATCATCCTCACCGTAGCTGTCCTATCTGCCGAGGTGGGACCAGTTAAAGAAAAAAAGAAAAAAAAGAAAAAGAAAAAAAGATAGAAAAAAAAGAGAAACTAAGAAAAAAAAAAGAAAAAAAAAAGAAAAAATATGTTGATCTGTGGGATGTGTTATTTACTTTATGACAATTGGATTATTTGTACGACATGTCAATTGCTTTGTTTGATTGATATGCTTTCTTTCCCTGGCAGGCGGTTTCTTCCTCTTTTTCTTTACCTCTTTGCCTTTTGGCTGCGTGCAAATGGGTCCTTGTGAGCAGCCAGCGCTCAACCTGTCATCCACGTGTTTGGCCTTGTACGTAAGAGGTGATGAACAGGTGGGGCTTTCCTTCCTTACTTCTTTTCCTTTTCTTATTTTATATTTTTTCGCCTTTGCGCTATGATTTACAGTGCGACAATATATATATAAAATAAAATAATATGTTGAACTTTGTAGTGACAGTGGCAATTGGTTTATCTGTGGGATGTGTCATTTGCTTTCTTCCTTTGTTTTTTCTTTGACCGTTCTCTTTCTCTTGCCTCTGTGAGGTCTGGTTTCCTCCTCCTTTTCTTTACCTCTTTACCTTTTGGTTGCGTGCAAGTGGGTCCTTGTGACACACGGGGATGGGGGCAGCCAACGCTCAACCTGTCATCCACATGGACGACCTTGTACATAAGAGGTGATGAATAGGTGGGGTTTTCCTTCCTCCTTTTTTTTTTTCTGCCTTCGCGCTCTGATACACAGTGTGATAATATATATATGTGTGTGTGTGTGGCGATATATATATATATATATATATGTATGTATATAAAGGGCTATAAAATACTAGACGATCACTTCTCGCAATTACAGTAGGATTCCCTTCAACCATATATATGTGATCGCAGACAATCAAATCTAGAGTCCGAACCACAAACATACCTGCAATCACCTTAAGGATTCAACCAAAGTGCACACACTACACGAGGTCAACTTCAACCACTCTCTGTGCTCACAACACTCGCTTTAGCCACACAAAACCCCAACCTTTGTCCAATCTTTCATATTAAAATACTCAATATCTTTGTTAAATGGCCATTCAATAAAGTCCAGGTGAAAACCCCAACAAAACAATTCAAACCACATGGTCTTAAACCTTCAGGTTGAATAGTGAGAGTGAATTAGAGTTAAGTCGAAAATAGACAAACCGGCAACCGTCTTGTTATCAATGATAACAGAAGGTGATCCTCGTGGGATCAAGGTGAAATTAGTCCAATCCTCAATGGAAACGATCAAGAGGATCTGTAACACAAGACAAGTTAATTCGCAAACTAAGCTTATAAGTGTATGGAGAATAAATCCCCATATCATGCTCTCACTCAAAATCTTCCTATGACCAAGTCTAAGTCTACTCCTTTAAACCAAGAAAATTTTGGCGGCGCTTCCCGTAGGAAAAATGTATTCTTAAACTTTATATTCGCTCGAATACGAAAACTGAAACAATCTTTAATTATAGAAAGTCAAAGTTTATCTAAATCCGTGAATTAGTAAAAATTTGGGCAACATCTCATTTAGAAAAATAGACTTCTCATATATTTATAGTAAGTTGGATAATAATTCGAAATGAAACTTGAGTTCTTGTAAAAATTTCGGCAGCACTTCCCGTAGAGAAGTGTCATTCCAAAATTTATATAAAGCTAAGTACAACACTTCCCTAAATTAACAAAAATTCGAGCAACATTTCTTCTAGAAAAGAAGGTTTTTCCGATTTTTACTAAGCCAGATATAAAACTTAGACAAAAAGTTGAAGAACTCTTCGGTTTCGTAGAAATTTCGATAGCGCTTCCCATATAGAAGATAACTTTCTAAGATTTATACGAAGCCAAGTAAAATAAATGATCCCAGAAAATGCAAGAATTGATCTAAGCAAAAAAACGTTAGCTCTGAAAATGGAGAAATTGAACTAACTCTTATAACTCTAGCACGTGGTGAACAATTAAAGCAACTACATATCAAACTGAAACTCATACTAAATAAAACTATCACTCAGCCACATGCAAATCCATACCACAATGGTAAGTACTCTAACCCAGTCCCAAGGTGAAACCTTATCAACAATTGTTCATAGTCTTTCAATGATTTATCCCTTATACGAAGCTTACATAAGGCATAAAGCTAGACCATTAAACTTAGAAACAATGTCTGGCTCAACCATTGAATATAGACAAACATAGGACACTACTACTTTTTTTTCTTCTTTGGGCATGCCACTAGGCCATTAAACTTAAAAACAGTGCCTAGTCGACCTGAACTGTTTGAAATAGCCAAATTATATATATTTTTCTGCACTTAATCTTTTAAGGTATCATTAGACTGAACCATTTAACTTAGAAACAAAGTTTAGCCAGCCCCATTTTACCACCAATTCATATTCTTAATTAATAGTCTCTTTATTGTGATAAGCTATCGTCAAACCATTCAACTTAGAAACAATGTCTGACTAGCTTGTTCGTAAATAAAATAGTAATAGAGTATAAACAAAATTTATCCTTTGGTTCCAGCATGTGCGTGGCTTCAGACCAGACCATTCAACGTAGAAACAATATTTGGTCTTTCGCTTGATTCCCTCATAATAAACAAGAAGGAAGTTCGAGTCATCCAACTTAGGAATAAAGCTCAAACTCCCTCTTTCATAAACAATAAAGAAATATAAGAAGGCTGGACCATTCAACTTAGAAACAATGCTCAGTCCCACTTAGAAAATCCCAAAATAAATCAAGGCGAATAACCCATTCAACTTAGAAACAATGCTTAGTCCCTGAAAAAGCAAGCACAGACAATCCTCGCAAGTCAGAGGAATAAAACCATCCAACTTAGGAACAAAGTCTGGTCAGACAGTCAAAATAAAACATAGCACTGTGCCATTCTACTTAAAAATAATGCCCAACCTTTGGTTGACCTAGACAATCACAAGCAAAACCACCTTCCTCCCACCTTCCCCCAATGCATATCCTTTTTCTCAATTTGACTTCAGACAAGCAACAAAAATGAAACTGAGATTGCGCATGCATTCCTTTACTTAGCTATGATTTATGTCCAGAAAGTCAAACGTAAACTCGATACGGATGTATGCAGTATACTCAGTCAAACTGTTGCAAGATTTACAGGTAAGGGTTTTAACTGAGTTTATAGAAGGGAAGGAATGTTAGTTTCCTACCTCCAGAACCTC